CTCGGGCTGATAATGATAACGGGGTGATAACGGGGGATAACGGGGCGATGCAACGGGAATGGCTTAAGGTTTCCAGAAACCTTGGCGACCCAGATTAATTCCGTCAACTGTTGCAATCTCGCAGGGGAGGGAGGGAAAGAAACGGTTGCGTCCCACCTCACGCAATAATCCCCCAATAACTCACAATAATCCCCCAATAACTCACAATAACTCACAAGTGATGATCGAGGATGCACTCGGCTCGGCCTCCCCTCGCAGACGCTGCAGTGCGAGTCCAGCATAGCCGAGACTTGGTGGGAGGGATGCCTGGAGAAGGTGGAGGCGAGCCTCCGGGAACGCGGGGCGTGGATCAGCGGCGTGACGATCGGCATCGCCCTGCTCACGGTCGGTTCTCGAGAGGTTTTCGCGGTTGCGACGCGGTTGCGACGCAGTTGCGACGCGGTTACGGACGCGGTTTCCACCCGTTCCAGTTCTCGGGGACTGCGTTCGCCTGCGCCCTGTGCTGGATCGTCGGGTGGAAGCAAGTGTCGCGGCGGCGGGTTTCTCCCATCTGGGAGCTGGAAGAACCGATGAGTGACTGATGAAGAACGAAGAACCGACGAAGAACTTTGAGATTTCATGTTGTCCCTCCCAAGACACGAAACGGAGCCGAGAAAATCCGTCGGAGATGTGCTGGGCATCAAAGATGAATATAGGACTGCAAGAAATCCCTCTGGGAGCAAAGGTCAATCTGAGAATTCATTACGCGAGAACGCAATTCTACGAGTAAAGTCTGGATAAACCGGAGCGAAAGAAATTTGATTACAAAATATGGTATGTTCTATATTTTACTCATGCACACGCCCACACAAGCTTAACTTTCATCCTTTCTCAGCGCCAAAATTATTCCACAACAATCCGAAAACTTTCTTCTGGATTTTTTTTTACAATTCAAGATTTTGGAGTTGGTTTCCTTAAAGGCGTTAAAGAAAATAGTTCTACTTTTTTTTTTAAAGAAAAACATCAAAGCCTGGTTCTTGGGCAAATGGGTGGGTATATATACTTATTTATTTAACGGTTGAGTGATTTCGAGAACTGCCCCTGGGTCCCCATCCAATCCTCGATGCATAAAGTGATGCTAGAACATGGAACAGTTCTAGTGCCTCGAATGCGAATTGCATCGGCGAGAGTTCTCGTCGAAAACTTGTTCATAATTGCCGTCGAGCAGTTTTCGCCTTCTGGCTGCGCTGAAGTGGGGTCGGGAAATCCAAAATTCAGGAAAGGAAAATCGCCGGGAAACGAAGCCACTAAATCGTAACCATCGACATTCCGTTCGATTCGGTTCGACTCCGTTTCCACAATTGACATTGACACAATTGACATAATTGCACTCGATGAACCTGTTCATCCCAGCCAAGAGAGAGCAACAAACTTTCAGAAGTAGTAAACATAAGTAGGAAGTTAGGGTTGAAATGAGGATGTGCACCCATATCGACACTTGTCGCTCTGGAAAAATAAAGAGGAAAACTTATTATAATGATAATAATGGTAGCTCGCACATTCTTATTCCGAGTGCAAAATCCTTTGCAAAATCTGCCTTGAATCAAAAACTCCACGAATAAATTGTAAGAGCTCCAGCGAAATTAAATTGGAGATATGCGGCGTCCGCTGCGATGGACGCGGGGTTGCCCCTGTCATTGTATATGTGTATTGTATTGTGTGTATTGCAAACCTTTTCATAGAAGAAATGGCAGAGCCGACAGTGGCACGGACGCAATCGGTCGCCTACCTCACCCTCCACAGCTGCTCCACCCTCCACAGCTGCTCCACCCTCCAGAGTTGCTCCACCCTCCAGAGTTGCTCCACCGCCGAAGATGGAAGATGCTCGCAAGTTCCTGTCTCGCCCATTGCGCCTCTCCTCCTGCCACCAGTCCGATCCCTGTAAGTCCTCTCACTCTTCATAATTTATCACGTCATTAGCGGGTCTCTTTCAATGAAAGATGAGACCACTCAGAGTCTCGATCTGCTCGTCTGTCTCGCGCTTTGGTTGCCCGACGGTAACTTAAAACACATTGACTTATTTACTATGAAAATTGGTGCGCATACATTTAACAAGATACAGGCTATGGTAGTTTTGGGCCATATTCCTACCAAAACAGTTTTTGTTGCCAATTTTGAATGTAGGGAGAGGAATCGATACATGTGCGTGCAAGCGCGATTACATACCTGTCAGCAAGATGAAGATGAAAAGAGAGCCAAATTCACGGCATCTCCCTCTCCCAAGAATTCTTCCCGAATCTTTTCCCAATCAGTCACAAGATCCGAGAGCCACCATCTCGTCCCAATAAGCATCAGCAATAAAACCGGTTTCTCCCAGTCGCTTCCTCGCGAGCACGTGGGATTTAAATGACCTATTTAAATGACCTCGCTGAGCGAATTCGCTTCAGGCCGACAGCCGTGATCGTTCGAGGCGAGCTCGGAAACCGGTTCAGCGCCGTTCTCTAAGCTCGTCGTGTCCGCGGAAGCGAATGTCTTCGTGAGCCCAGCGGGATTCCTATGATCGAGGATATCTTGTGGTTGGAGATTCGGCAGAGATTATATGAACCAGACTTTAAATTACGCCTCCGGTCGGTAAAATGAGTCATTTTATTTTGTATAAGTTACGGTCGTTCCAAAGCATGTCTAACGTATTCCTTTTTTTCAATGGGTTTCTTTGAACCGCCATGTTGCAGTGGCTGAGATCTAACCTGATCGATCGGCGAGGATTTCTACCTTCTGGGGAAAATGAGGCGGGAGTCGAACTTCCCGCTTCCTGGTTTTTTCTTGCTCGAACCTCATTTTGTAGACCCTTAACGTATCGTATCACACCCTAACATCGTACGGAGGTGTTTGGCGAAAGCTGCACGACAGCTTCGAAGAATGACGATTTCCTACTTCGGTGCAATTTCGTTGGAAAGGTCGATGAGGCCACTTACGGCTCCATGAAACATTCGAGGCTTAACGTCCTGTCACGACTTCTTCGATGGCTCCGCCGGGCGCAGCTTCGACGAAGCATCCCATTCCAAAGGATGAAGCATCCCATTCCGAAGGGTGTTGAAGGACGCGGAACCTCCAGAGCCTCCGCGCCCTCAAAATTTTATTTTTATTTTTTTACCATGCCATTTTTTTACCTTCAGACCGAAACTCATGCTCGACCGGTTCACTCCCACCGGTTCGATGGCCTCCACGTGAAAACCGATTTGGATCGATAGGATGAATGAAAGTTGAAGATTCAACCAAGAGTCCAGAAACTTGGATCATGCTTGGATTGCCCATATTTTTACATTTGATCGGTGTCGAATCTGCGAGATGTCATATAACGCCATGTTAAAAACTGTCCGAGATTAGAAGTGGAATCGGGGTTCGCAGACGATGGCGGGTTCTCTCAATTATCGTCAATTATTATGTCTAAAACCTGAAAACGTCCATCACTCATGGCAATATCGGAGGAATTTCCAGTGAATGTCTGGTCCCTTGACTCTTTCTCTGCCTTTCGATAATCAAATGCAAATTCACAAAAAATCCAAGGATTCTACAGTCTACTACAGGTTCAGGGATGATTCATGATTAATAATAACTTTAATTAGCATTTTTTCAATCATTTGACAAGCAACGAGGAAAAACCAGAGCAAATCACAGGAGTTCTAGGGACAAACGGAAAAATCTGGAGTCTCGTGCGAATGCGGGTTCACAGATCGGCATGAGTCTTGGGGGCGACCCAGATCCTCTGCAGCGACGCGTGCTTCCACTCGACGGTCGTGCACAGGGCGCAGCCGAAGGCGATCCCCACGAGCTGGAAGGAGGGCGAACGGAACGATCGGTGGAGGTTTGGGAGGTGGAGGCTTCGGGGGTGGAGGTTTGGGAGGTGGAGGTTTACCGCGAGGAAGGCGACGCTGATCCCGATGCCGCTGAGGACGGTGCCGTGCCTGCGGAGGTGGATCTCCAGCTTTTCCCGACATCCTTCCCTCCACGTGTTCGATGCGTTAGATCGGCACGGCAACATCTAGACGTGGGACAGAGCGCACGATCGCGGAAAATTCTCATTCATGGGGGAGAGACTCGGGACGTCATGGGAGAGACTCGGGACGTCATGGGAGAGACTCGGGAGCATGAAATGCTCACGCGCCGGGTTCGGTAAACCGCTCGACAAGCGACTCGAAAGAAACCGCTTCGCTTTCTCGGCACCTCGTCCCAAGGCATTCTGCTGCATCCGAGTCCGAAGAGCTTCCTGGCCAAATCTCCTTCATCCTCAAGCGGACCACATCCGCCTCAAGCATCGCTCGACTCTCTGCCTTCTACTTGCCGACATCCTCGTCGCTCGCATTCGCCTCATCTCAAAGGGAACGGCTCGGTATCGTCCGGCTGTCGAGCGAACGAAACGACGCGCTGTGTCGGGGCGAGATCGTTCCGCGAATTTTGCACAACGAATTCTCATCCGAAATGGGTGCTCAGAAATAGAGAGGACTTTTCAGTTTTGAAGGCTTTGCCGATGAAGTGACAGGGCCTCTGCTTTCCGTCCTTCCATCGAGTTTTCTTCCGCTCTTTTTTCTCCGCGGGTCTTGCATAAACTTCTCAAATCTCTCCCCCCTCCCTCTTCTTTTTTTATTTTTATTTTTATTTTTTTACCAATCCACCAATCTGATAAATACGGCACCAGCGCGACCAATCAGGTGAAACGCAACGTGTTTAATTCTTTTTTTTCTCTCTCTCTATGCCTCGCTGTCATGCGTAAGAACTATTAACCAGTCCTTCGAATCAAACTAACCAAATTTAATAAATAGGACGCGTTCGGCTAGAGAAAAATGTCCCCGTCCCCTCCCCGCCCCGCCCCGCCCCCCATTCCGTAAAAAGATTCCAAGCCGACTCACTTCCTGTTCGATCCGACAGCAACTCGCTGGGTATCGGCCGTGAAGATTGGGATTGGCCAGCCAGTCTTCCGCCTTCTCGATGCCGCAACACTCGAACTTCGAAAAGGAAATTTCTCAAGGGCGTGCCGAGATGAAAAGATGGAAGATGGAAGATCCGGTCACCTCTCTCTGCGCTTGGTCCCAGGCGAGCCCGACGGGGGCCTGCGCCCCGTCGTCGTAGTCGACCAGCGCCTTCTTCAGCGCCGTGTCGACCGCATCCTCGACTCGGTCGAGGAACACGTATCCCAGGATCTCGGCCACGAGCAGCACGACGAACAGCAAGAACAGGAGGACGGAATACTAAGAGACAAAAAAAGACGAAGATGACCCACCTTCCGACGGAGAAGAAAAGGAGATCGAAGACGACCTAGCCTTGCAACGAAAAGAAAACGTCTGACCGCCACGAGCATGCACTTCCCCCGCTTGAAGACCCCGCAGAACCCGAGTGCAGCGAGGAAGACGACCACCAGCCCCGTCGCGATCTGGATGCACGCCGCCCCGAAGAACAGGTGCGTGTCGAGCAGCGAGTCGACCTCCGCCCCGTCCGCCACCCGCCAGATCCCCCACGCCGATAGCGCCAGGCCCCCGAGCTGCAAACGACGCGATGGGAGACGACAGAGGCTTCGTTCGTTCGGAGACAGGAATGAATTCGGCTGGGTAGCGGGTGCCGTTACTTTTTCTGTTGCACGCTCGATGTTACTGGATCGTGACTCTCGGGGGGTGGGCGAGAATTTTCGAGGAGGAGCGACCGAGAAAAATGCGATCGATGGGAAAGAAGCCTCATCGACGAGGGTTAAAAGAAAAAGTGGAAAAAGTATGCATGTCAAAGGCATTCCCGATCGCTGGACGAAGAAAAGGACTTCTCTCTGGCGACATTCGATTCGAAGCGAACCTCGGTCCACTCACCAGGATGACGACATTGACGACGAAGAAAGAACATTGCACGCATCTTCCGCATCCGTCCATTCCGGCAACGGCTATCGCTCCTCGAGGGGATCACCGTCGTCTTTAGCACGTGCACGAAGTGAGATTTCACTAGCAGGAGAGGAGTGGACCGAAACGCACCTCACAGGGGGGCGAGACCTTTTCGAGTGAGGGAAACCGAAGGGAAACGAAATGGAAAAGTCTGTGGAGAGTTGCGCGAACGACGTCCCGTTTCTGTCATCCGACATCCACTCTCGCGTGAGACACTGGAATCGACACGGGCGAGAATGCAATGCATAAGCACTAGTCGTTGGCAACGAAATGGCACTCCATCGAATTAGATCGGGAAGAGTGCATGTGAAAATTCCAGGTTCGATCCTGCTCTCGTGCGCTGGGTGGCGTGGCTCGAAGTCGCCTGTCTGTCCGGAGTCTGTAGACTATAAGTTCTATTGGCTGTAACGCTATACACTGGAATTGTCGGTATAGCTTTTTGATGCGTTTTCGTTGCGAAAAACATGTGAGATTTTTTTTTTAAGAAGGTGGCCTCGGGTAAAGCGAGATTCGTGGCCGAGACCCGGCACCCCTCGTTCGACTGCCCGGGCAGTGGCGGCTCGTCATATTTAGCGCAAGTGGTTCGTCTATGGAGTAGGCAGCGCCCTCCCCTGCCGACCCTCTCTCCACAGACGAGCCACTAGCGCTAAATATCACGAGCCGCCACTGCTGCCGGGCGAGATCCAATTGCAACTGAGGTCGGGGGGAGGAAAAGGGGGAAAAGGGGGGAAAGGAGGGGGGGGGGGGGGGGGGGGGGGG